TGGACTCCGTTTAGTCTTCGAGACTCCGGGAGAAGGTGAAGAGTGCGGAGCCGCTAACCTACGTCCTCTATCGCTTAAAACTAAATCCTGAGACTGTCACCTTCTGTACCAACCTGTTGGTGCATTTGGTCGACCCCATGGAAACCGATGGTCAGACACACACCGGATGACTAACAAACAAAATGGACGTAATGAGGGAATATCCGTCGATAGCAAATGAATCTAAAATCGACCTTTCAAATCAGGTCATGCTACTACCCAGTATCCTAGCAAAGAACATCATAGGTTTGTTTTATTGACCTCTGACAAAAAAGTCACGTATGTTCCACTACCAGTTTCAGCAAGAAAAAAATATCTGATAGCATAAGAAGTGCACGTACGCGAAATGCGTGTCAAAGTAGTCCTTCTCCTGGCGAGCACGCGATTTTGGATCGCTCCACAAATCCACGGGTGCTGTAGTGACTGTGAACATGGTGAGGCCGCAGCATAGGGAGGCAATAACAATGAGTGAGAGGATGAGTGTGGCGACCGGGTGTCTTGCGATGCCTCGGCCAAGGCGAGAGAAGGCCTATGGGAGAGATTAAAAGGAAAGCAAAGTATTACATCCATTGTAAGTAAAGAAAGGAAATCAATCGGGGACAAGAGGCGACGTATATCTATCTACCTTCCTTTCATCATCCCCGGAAGAGGCAGAAGAAGAGACGATTTCTGGGACCAAGGTGTATCTTGGCTTGCCTTTGAAAAAGCAAGGGTAATAGGCTAAGCCAACGACAAGATGGCCAGATTGCTGCTAGAAAGGTGGTCCTCGACTGGCACACTAAACAGAAACATGGACCTTCATCCCGCCTACCAAGCGCTCCGCAGAAGGCTAATATCGGCTCAGAACGGAGCAATTGGTCGGGCGGAGAGAGATAAACAGGGCCGACAGCCGGCAGCCGCGAGCAAAGAGGGTAGAAACGCTCATGAGACACAAAAACAACTTGACACAGCTCATGAAGACGCCCGTGAGGGCGCGAGCAATTCAAACGGCCACAGAAATCGATCGGTGCAATCGATTGACACATGGGCATTAGGCAAGACTACTAATCGGACACATTCATCTGACGCGAACAGGAGTACAGACGCCACGCTCTGACGATGGAAGCGAACACGCTTTTGAAACGTCAGCCAAAATACACCTTGGTCCCAGAAATCGTCTCTTCTTCTTCCTCTTCCGGGGATGATGAAAGGAATATTTTATCTGGACTTCAAATTTTTTCGCATATTAATCTATCTATCTATCTATCTAGGTGAAATTTGTGGAGAAGCAATCGGGTCACCTAACAGCAAAGGTATGGTGAATTGCGCTGACCGTCATCCAAAACCTGCAAGGCAACCCAGAAATACTAACCACATGGTAGGAATCTACTGTGCTGTTAATAACGGCCGAAGAGCTTTCTTATTGCAGTGTTTCCGAGATCAGAAGTTATGTCGAAGGACAGTCAGATAACTCGAATAACCGCTATTAATGCAGTGTTCCTTAATGTAGTGCTGGTTTCGTCACCTGAATAGACGCACCGAGGTCAGAAGTTATGTCCAAGGACAGTCAGATAACTCGGATATTCCTTATGTGGTTCTATAGAAATAAACCATAAGGGTAACAGTGCATGATAGGTAAAAAATGTGAGGTAGAAATCAAAAGGAGGGTAGACATACATTCGAGGTGCTTAGACGAGCAGTCGTTTGAATGACGCAGACGCGCTGCTGCTAGGTTATAAGGGCATAGCACACGGGGCAGGAGTGGTTAATGAGCACACGGGAATAAAGCTCGCAGTGTGTCACCGAATGGGAAAGCAGTCAACGAGGTCAAGGGGTCAGAACATGCGACAGGGCAGAATGAAACGAAGGGCATGGACCATCAGTGAATGACTAAGCGGGCTTAAGGACACATGCTTCGACCAAGTGGGCTAAGTCCTACAGACAGTTAACAACAGATAAAATCCAAACATGAAATTGACGTGATGAATGTCACATGTGTTAGGACGGCCTAATGAACAGCCTTAGCAAGCAGTAGCTTGCAAGCCATAGCCGCACTCCAAGCAGG